CTTCACGATGGCGATATACTTTTATTCTGAGCCCCCACCTGCTTTGACGCTCCACATTCAATCATGTTCAGTCGTGGTTCACGGTGAAGATTGGCGACGGCAACCTTCATCATTATGACGCGGCGTCAGTGACGCCAGAGCCCCCTGCTTCCTGCTGCCGTGATGTCCTACCTACATAGCGTGATGACTTGCCCGCAGGCCCAGCACGTAGCGGACTATCCATTCCCGACGGTCACTCACATGACGGTCATTTGAGCGCGCATGATTGCATTGGCGCCAAAGTCCGTCAGCAAAACGCCATGTCCATGTCTTCACCAAGATCGACTCGACGACTGCCTAAAATTGTTGACAGAGGATCTTCCGAGGTGGTCAACACTTGGACACGCACGTGCAATGCCGTCAGACCCAAAGATTTTCCAATCTCCGCGCGACGACTGCAAACGTGCTGCAAGCATAGCGTTAGCGTCGGGAAGATCGCGTATTTGGATTGCGTGGCGACGTGTCCCGACGACGCCGACACGAGGTGCAAATCGTCAACCCGTACCCGTTGACAGCGTAGTTTTTGTCACGTTCGAGTGCAATCGACGCGACTCCAAAGAACTCGATGCCCGCAAACGCAACGCGAAGGAATCTACTGCAGCCATCTGCTCGGCGTTGCGGCGCGTTTGCTGTCAACTTGCTGCAAACCTCGCTTTGCTCCTGCGTTACTGCATCCGATGCAGCATTGTAGCCTGAGCAGGCCCAGCCCTACAACGAGCGACGATGCTGCTGGCCGGGATGTGGGGACGCCTTACTTGCCTGAACCGCCGCAAGTGAGGCGTTAGTAAGGCTACTGCCGTGCCCCAACGATTCCTCGGCGTAAATACACCCGCAGCAGGATGCACGTAGCCATCGCATTGCCAGGATCGCTTCAAGGAAAGCAAAGAGATTGCAGCTTGCGCCACGGTTCCAGCCGCTTTTCGCGAGGCCGCGGCCGTTCCAGATGCCCACGATCTCTTGGTCTCCACTGCCCTTTGACGCAGCGTGCCACATCGTGTTCAACCTCGATCGCTTTGCCAAGCGCGATTGGCAAACCCCGAGTCAGTCAGTCGAGATTGCTTATGTCAGCGCTGTTGACAGCTTCAACGTCGGGAGGGAAAGCGCAAAAGTTCCGTGACTTTCGCCACCTTTTTGGACGGCGATGGAAAGTCGGTGGCGACCGCGTGCGACTCCGCGCGAAAGCAAACACACCGCTACGAAGCGGAACCGGATGCAGACTGCAACACACCGACGATGCCTCATTCTTGACGCGATGCAGTGCGCACGGTGGGCGAAAAAGGCAAGTTTGCGGGGTGAAAAAGGCAACTTTGAATTTGTAAAAAAAACATTTCAGCCAATGAGAGGATAGTAACTTACCGATAGGTCTCGCGTATTATAGAGCGCTGACCCTATGCAGTTGCTAACACGCAAATATAATCACGACGCTGCTGCGCCGTTGTATCGGCAAACAATTTCCAAAGAGCAGCGGGCAAAACAGAGTGCTGCGGCACATGGGTCAAATCTCCTGCTGTGCTGCGCTGGCAAACAAGTAAAAAAAATAATAAATAAATAAAAATGTGCTCGTATTGGTGAAAAACCGTTTGGGCTCGAAGACCTACCCCTGACCATAAATTGTTGCCAGCTGGTCGAGCGGACTGTATTTTTTCTTGTGACCGGATGGGGGAGCCGCGTATTGCATAGTGAAATCAAGTGCCAGTCGCCCCAAATCGAAAAAGAGCGCGGCAAGAAGAGACGAGCCGCCGCCTTCGCTTCCCTCCCTCCGCTCAGGACGTGACAGAATCACTCGCTCGCTCGCGGAGACCCGTTGCCTTCTTTGCCTCCAGAGGCCTGTGGGACTGCGCTTTGTGGCTTTGCCGTTTTGACCGGACGACGCCCAACACAACGGAAAGGGGGCGAGAAGCAGCAGAAGAAGCCCGAGCTTGAGCTTTCCACCGAGGAGGACACACACACACACACACACACACACACACACGTCAGTGGTAGTTGCCACTTAGAGATTGACCATGCCGCAGGTAAGTCGGGCGGTTTGCCATCTTTTTATTCATTTCGTGCCGGTGGGAGGGGAACTTTTCTCACTGACAGGGGGTGGCAAAAAACGTTTTTCCGCAGAGTCTGGTGTTCGCCGAGCAAGTGCCCACGTACGTGTACCAGAACGTGAACTTCCAAGCCACCGTCAAGCTGGTGGACAGCCACAAGGCCAAAGTCACGGGGTACGTCGGCAACTGCGAGTGTCATAACGTTACATTTCCCTTGTGCCAGTGTCTAAACGGCAACTTTGTCTCTTTGCAGTGTCCGCAAGCCACTGCAAGTGTCTCTGCGCTTCCACGACACGTACGACCTGGTGGAAGACCAAGATGCCGTGCTCCGCGTGGCCTCAGAGGCCCTCATCGACCCCAACACGGGGCTGGCTCTGCTCTCCATGAGTCTACACACACTCACAGCCACTTGCGACGGACGCAACTTCTGTCTCGAAGTGCGCAGCGCCGACGCAGACATCGAGTCGGTCTTTTCATCGCCTGTGAACGTCGTCAAAGAGAAACTGCAAGTGGTGACGCAGCCCCCCGACGTCTGGTTTAAAGACGAAGGAGGTCGCGAGAAGTGCATGACGGTGGCTCTGACTCTGGTACCGGCTCCGGGAGCGTATCTGGAAGACCGCGTCGTGCCACTGGACGTGAAGCTGCTGTACGAGTCCGGCAACACGGTGCTAAACCAGAGCATCTTGAGACTATTCCCTGACATGAGACCCAATATGACGCACGGCCGAGCGACCATTTCCTTCCGAATCGACGACGTGTCAAAGAATCACCAGGGACAATCATTCATGCTGGAGATCGGACCGGAGCAACAGGACGGCAGCTCCATGTTCCAAGACATTGCACCCACACGCACGTCGGTAATTGCAATTCGATCCAAGCGTAACAAACGGAAACTCAATGCCCAAGCGGCGGCGGCAGCGGCTGCTGCAGCGTCAGGGGTCTACGGCATGCGTGCTTCTCCTCGGAGTGTTGCTGGCACCCCACGAACCCCTTACATGAACATGGGTGGAACACAGAACTCCCCGCAGTCTATGGGTCCCAACGGGATGATGATCGAGCCGCATCCGCAACGCGCTCGCAAGTACTTGGCAACTAGCAACGCTATGGGATACAACGGCATGATGCAACAACCGCAACAACCAATGGGCTCCATGTCCTGGAGCAGCCACTTGATGCAGCCCAATGCCAGCTCTGTATCCCCTATGCAGCCGCAAACGCCACAGAACCAACAAGCGCCAGTCCAGACTCCAGGTTCTGGAGCTGGGAACAGCCCTGGAGCGGTGGAGTGGGCTCTCGGTGGCTTTGAGATTCATCCTGATGGCTCCATGAACACCGCTAGACCAATCTATCGCTGTCCGCAATGCCGGCGTCTAAACGATGTAGACATGCTGGCTGCGGGGCCTGCTGTTTCGCACAGTCCGCAGTGCGTGTTCTCTCCCAACGGTGGCAATGGCAACATGATGTACCGTTCTCAAATGGAAGGAACGCCCATGAACCAACAGCAAATGCAACAACGAGGATACGCAACATACCAGCAGATGGCTGAGCAGAGTATGGGGATGAGTGCACCGCAGACTTCTACTAGTAGCAGCTACGGCAGCAGCGCGATGGTCGATTCTTCGTCACTGAATGTGCAGCAGAACACGGTAAACATCACGTCCAAGCCCGAAGATGTATCTCCAAAGACACTCGCTACCTTCGCAGCTTCGTCAACTCAACGACCGTCTATGACGATCTCTCCATACATGAACAAGGTCACGACTGAAACAGGTTTACCGGCTAACAACGGACAAGAGCAGACAGCCAGTGGCAATTTGTTCGAGAGCAATGCATTTCACAACCAAATGGAGATGATGGGCAACAGTACTGAGAAATTGTTCATGAACAAGAGCACCGCAGTGGAAGATGACCCCGCTTTGGACCCGCAACAGCAACAGCCTCAAAATTATCAACAGGATGCAGGCGCAAACTTTGGTGGTGTCATTGGCACGTCGCTGTTTAATGAGATGACCAGTATGGGCATTAATCTGGACCAGAGCGAGCCTCAGTTACTGGGCGAGTTTGGTGGACTGCAGGGTAACACCCAGACACCTAATGATGAAGATCAAGTGTTCTACATCCTGGCACGGATGTACACGGACGCACAGGAGCGCAAACTTGGTTTGCCTGCCTTTGACCAGTTTCAACGCATGGTAAGTCGAATTGACGGGATCAAAGGAAAATTACCCCATTCTAACGTTTTTTATTGTTTGATTACAGCTTGGTTTCTACAGTGAAGCTCAGGATGATGTTCAGACTCAAGTGGTTTTCCATCCACTGCGCGATATCTGCTTGTCTAATGAGGAGCGAGAAAAGATCACGTCGCAGTTCGTGGATGAACTCGGTCGGGACTCACAAGCGGTGCATTCCCTACCCAAGTACCAGCACAATCTCATCATGCTGCGTGAGGACGCACTGATGTTCTACTGGAGCCAATCGCTTGTATGAGGCTGATGTTGGGATGATAATAGAGCCTCGGCGTAGGCAACCGTTGTGTTTTAAGGGCAAAAAGTACCCGTAGCGAGTCGGTAGTAAAACGCGTTGGTCGTGTATAAGTGCGTGAGATGCATGTAAGTTACGTAGTTTAATCGTTAATCCAGTCAAAAGTCGTTATTTTCATATCGATACTACGTTGAACTGGCAGTAATTTACGGATTGCATTGGCAACTGAATCTATTGTTGCCAGTGGCAAACTTGCCTACTCAGTTTCAATTCCTTGCACTTGCAATCGGTAAATCACAACGCGACCGAAGAAATCGGTGCTGCGTTGGAAAGTGAGTGCAATCGCTTCCACTTGTTGCAACTTGCATGGAAACTCCTGCAAGTCGTTCGAGTCTTCCGGATCCACATCCACATCGACTTCTTCCCATTGAACGCTGCCTCCAGCTTCCTTCACGTGCACTTGGACGTCCTGACCCACGAAACCCCCTTGGAACATGATGCATAAAGCGGAAATGTTCACCACGCGGTTGAAAAGCACCTGCACCTGTTGCGGACTGCCTTGCGCTGAGTTCCAGCAACTTGATAGATCGGACGAAAGCATATTTGCAGCACCATAGAGCTGCTTGTTGCGGTCCAGTGTGGACGATGCGCGGCACGTGGTGCGAGTGTCGTCACTCAGGGACACGATGGACATTGGCAACTTTTACTGCAAAACTGAGTCTTTTTGCTTGTCAAGATGCAAAACCTATCAAATGCCATTTGAAAACCTGCCTTATCGACTGATTTGCGTGGTCTACACGGATTTTTGGGGCCAGACGTTCTCGAATCCTGCCGCGTCAGTACCGAAGTTTCTGCAAAAAGAGATCACTTCACAGTTAGACACACGACCATGTCGGAGACTAAAGCATTGTGGGCGCCTGTCAAGTGGGCGCAGCGCAAGGACGCGCTGTACGTGACCGTGGACCTTCCGGATGTCAAGGACGAGAAGGTCACGCTCACCGACAAGAACCTCACGTTTAAGTGCGTTGTGAAGATCTTTTGGCAACTAATCGCATCCATTGTGTCTAACCCGTTATGGCAAAAAAAAAAATCCCGCTTTTTTCAACAGGGGCACGAGCAACGGCCAGTTGTACGAGGTGAAGCTGGACTTCTTCAAGGAAGTGGACGTGGAGGCCAAGGACAGTATCTGGGCCAAGACGGACCGTAACCTGCACTTCCACATCGTCAAGAAGAATCAGGACGAGGAGTTCTGGCCGCGTCTGCTAGCTGACAAGCACCTGGAGAAGACGAACGTCAAGGTGGACTGGAGCAAGTTTGTGGACGAGGACGATGACGAGGAGCAGGGCGGCTTCGACATGAGTGCACTCAACGGTGGCGGTGGCTTTGACATCAACCAGATGATGGCGGCACAGAACGCGGCTGGAATGATGGACGACGGCAGTGACAGCGACGACGAAGACATGCCCGACCTCGACCCCAACGACCAGTAGAGAGACCACGGAGACAGTGAAGGCAGTGTGAAAAAAAGAAGAGGATGAGACTCGCCCCTTCTTGCGTAAGTGGTAAAGATGCCGTCCTCTTGCTGCTAGCTCGCTTGTTTTTTGTGTGCTTTTGTGATACTTGAATTTATGTGTCCCATAAATTGAAAGTTAGTTGATTTCTTTGGTGTAGTGATGACAGGGACGCTACGTTAGAAATAAAAAAAAAAACTGGTGAAAATGGACGATAAGCACCCGTGTAGAAGCCTTGCTCAGGCCGCCAAACAGAACATGCCTTTGTCCACGGGGTGTTTCCGAAAGCGAACGTTGGAGAAGAGGATCTTGCGCACGGAGGACTTCCAAACGGGGGACTTGCGTTGATCACTGCAATTGCAATTACCACAGTGCAAAGCCAGGGGTTAGATTCGTTTTGTTCGTCATCGACAGGATACGTCACGACATTCTTGTTACCTTTCCAGCTTCCAGTTGAGTTGGCTCTCATACTCGGTCTCGACAAAGTCGCAGATCTCCTTAAATGAACCCTACAGCGATGATCGACCGTTAGCGCCGAGCATCGAAATGGAAGTATCCATGTCAAGTTTGCCACGTACTTTTCCGCCGGGTAAAACGGTTAGCGCGTGTGAAATCATATCACCGTACGTGACGCTCGCCACTGGTTTCCGGTATTCTGAACAAATCGCAGGAAAATGACAAGTCATTACACTATCTATGACACAGGAGCTAACTGCCACGTACGGTTCTCTGGGATGTCTGCGCTGTCGTTCTCCTGACAAGCTGGACAGTACCAAGTCTCGGGAGGTTCTTCGAGCGGATCAAGGTCCACACAACTCATGTGATACCAGTTCGACCGGTCAAGGCATCTCTTGTTGTCGCACGCGATCATGTTGCCGAAGCTCGCGCCCCTGCAAACGCAGTACAGTCGTCCTTTCCGTTTCTTTTTCTTCTGCAGGACTCCAGCGTCGACACTATCTGCCCTTCCACGGCCATTTCCATCGCGAGATTTCTTGTCATGGTTCGCCGACCGTCGCTTTTTGACTTCAAATGGACGCATCTCATCGTCGTCTTCTTGGCCGTAGTCGTACAAATCGTCAATATCTTGCTCGGCCAACACAGATCCATCACCTTCAGCGTTGCGGTATGTCCCCTGTCGGCTCTGGTTTTCTTTGTCATCGTCAAAGTCCTGCTTTTTGCGCTTCAATCGATGAGTTGGCCGCGCTCGCAGCAGTTCCGCTGCCTCCATTGTGTCAGTTGAGCCCGTGAGCTGCGAAGTAGCAAGTAATCATTGCATGAGTCTGGAATCTCTGGAAACAATTGCCCAAGGATGTTTGCTACGTACGTAATGGACGAATGATGTGATGCTGGAGCTTTCATCCGCCTTCTTGCACTCCTCATTGAAGTGTCTAAATTGTTGCAAAACGATCGCCAAACACGCAAGCAATTGGCATGACAGCAAATTGGGCTGAAATTGCACTGGCAAACGCAACGTACCTGGCAACAGCAACTGCTAGTTGCTCTTTTGAACTACCTGGCACCTCTGGGATGCCATGGAATGCCATGTACTTGCGCAATGCGTTGGGCTGCAGCGACCCGACGCAACACACATTGCACCATTGCAAAAGTGTCAGCAACAACGTTAGCATGTCTTTCACTGCATTGCAACAATCTTTTCCATTGAAGCGAAGCGCAACGAGTGTCGAAACACTGCGCAACTTCAATTTGCACCTGCGTACCCGCAATCGAGTGAAATCTACCGCCATATCCACAGGATATTGACTGCGCTCGCCAGGCAACACACGCGGAGATGAAATTCTCGAGCTGCTGCTGCTCATGTCCGCGGCAGGCGTTGGCACTTCACGCTGCGGATCCGCCATGATGGCTCTCGTCTTCGAGGCGAAGTTGATTCTTTTTTGTTTCCGAACTGAGTTTTCAGCCAATCCCAGGCCAACTGGCAAAGTGGCCACATTTCGCATGCAGTCCCTCCTCATCGCACTCTTGCACATCAAGCGCCGAGTGAAAAAAAAAAAACTTGCAAATGCAACACCACCAGCATTTTAAGCTAGTTCTAACCTCCAGTGCGCCACTTTGCAGCAAAACCTGGCGCGGCAACAAATTGCGAAGTGGCTTACAGTTCATACCTAACGAGTCTCCATTCAATCATACCCTAGTTGCCTTCATCCAATTACCTTAAAGATGCGAGACGTGTGCGTAACTTGTAGTTCCTTAAAACTCGAAGCTCTCCATGGGGGCGGTCGGCTTCTTCACTGGCGCCCGTCGCACCACTTCAATCTCACGTGGCGCCACTTCCACTTCGCGCGGGGCCTCGCGTACGCGCTGCTGCTCCATTTCTACCTGCCGAGTCTGTTGCTCCTGTTTGAGCGCAGCTTCGCGACGTCGCTGGTGTTCTTGCTGTTGCTTCTGAATCATCTCGCGCTTCACGTCGCCGACCAGCGACGAGCGCGGCGCAGTGGCAGGAGCCTGGGACACTGACAAACGCTCTTGGCCATTGCCGACCGGGGCCGATGCAACCACAGGCATTGGCGAACTCTCAGGCTCTCGGTCGCTATCGTCCGAGTCGTCATCCACGCTAAAGTGGGAATTCATCTGCTGGGTCATACGGAATGCAAGGTCCTCCTGCTCCTGTTCCTGCTGCATTTGCATCTTGACCGCCTTCTCGCGCTCTGCACGTTGACGCGCGTGTTCTTCGCGCTTCTGGCGACGTTGCAGCTCCAGTAGGTCTTCGCCTTGCTGGGGTTTAAGCTTCTCCTGCATTGCCAATTCATCTGCCAACCGCTTGTTGCGAAGTACTTCTTGCTCCTGTTCATGCTGAATACGAGCCGCCTCCTCCGCCTCGCGCGCACGTTGCAACTCCATCGCCTGCTGCATCTCGATCTCCCTCTGTTTCTGCGACTCCCGTTCCTTCTGCGCCTGCTTCTCTTGCTCCTCCTGACGCTGCAACTCCTCAACTGCAGCTAGTGCCGCCTCCTCTTGCTCTCTTTGCTGCTGAGCTGCCAACTGTCGCCGCATCTCGGCGTCCTGCTCCTGTCTGTGTTGCTCTTCAAGACGCTGTTGCTCTTCAAGACGTTGCTGCTCTTCAAGGCGTTGTTGCTCTTCAAGACGCTGTAGCTCTTCAAGACGCCGCTGCTCTTCCAGCTGCTGTTGCCGCATGCTTTCCGCCTGTGCAGCGAGCAGTTCCTGCTCTTCCGTCGACGCTCGCACCTCTGCGCCTGTGCTGTGGCGCTGGTTGACGCCGCGACGTGGCACCGAGAAGTTCTGGAAGTCCCGGATGTTCGGGTTGCTATTGACACTGCTGCCGGCCATGCTGCCGTTGGAAGAAGGCGCGGGCATGGACGCGCGCTGCATAGGCTGGCCCGAATTGATGCGGAAGGCCACGACAAGCTTGTCCACCCAGTCGTTCATCTCCATCTCCGTCCCTGCAGCCACCAGCAGGCGGCGTTCGGGCGCGTTGATGGCGATACGCCAGATCGTTGAGGCCGAGCTGCCAGTCTTCATGCTGTCGGCAGGCATGACCTCCAGCACGCCCTCGTCGCAGCCCTGCAGACTCAGCTCGCCCTTGAGTTCGCCGTCCTCGAACGTGAAGTACTGCAGACGCGACGGCGTGAGCACGAAGTAGCGCGGTTTCCAGTTCTTGCGACCGAACGGGCCCGTGCCGGAGCCCTTCTTGAACAGCACGCCCGTGCGCAGGATTTGGCCGTCGCTCATGGCGCTGAGGATCTCTCGGTCTGAGCGATAGAGTCGATATCCGCTTCTGAAGCGGCCAAAAATGAGAGCGGGAGAAGAAAGAGCGCTAAGTGCGATTTCGGTATACTGCACGCGAGATGTTTTGTGACGAATGGAAAGCGCGAAATGTGAGAAGCGACAAATTGTGTTTTGCCAGATGGCTCAGTGTAGGTTTGCGAGTTTGCTTGGTGGCGGTTGCGTACCTAATTGACACCACAAGAGTGGACAGCAGTTGCCACTCGCAGTAATGAGCACGAAAGAGATAACCATAGGGGCGGAATTTTTTTTGCCACTGTTGGATTTTTGTCGGCCGGTCCAACATTGGACATGATGTAGCTTTCTAGATTCTGAAGTTTCTGAAGTTTACCCGACGCAACACTAAATCAGGTGCTGATGCAACCAAACATTTGTGCATCGTCCACTGGGACGCTCGATGCCTGCGATATCATCCAAGCGAGCGAAGGGCCCTCGCTACCGGCTAGTCGAGCGAAGAAAATCCAACGCCTTTGCCTCCACGCGGATAATTTTGCGTCACCCTTGTTGAAGCGATCTTCCCCTCGCTAAGGTGTT